GGTGTAACCAGTTTGGTCGTTGGCTGTGTATTTAATCTACTAGTGTAACCATTTAGGTCTAAGGTTTTGTATTTAATCTACTAGTGTAACCAGTGGGGTCTTTGGCTTTTGTATTTAATCTACTAGTGTACCCAGTGGGGTCTTTGGCATTGTATTTAATCCACTAGTGTAACCATAGCGGTCTATGGCATTGTGTTCAATCCACTAGTGTAACCAGTAGGGTCTATGGCATTGAATTCAATCCACTGGTGTAACCAGTTGGGTCTTTTGCTTTTGTATTTAATCTACTAGTGTAACCAGTGGGGTCTATGGCAATGTATTCAATCCACTGGTGTAACCAGTTTGGTCTTTGGCTGTGTATTTAATCTACTAGTGTAACCAGTGGGGTCTATGGCATTGTATTTAATCCACTAGTGTAACCAGTAGGGTCTGTGGTTTTGTGTCCAATCCACTAGTGTAACCAGTGGGGTCTATGGCATTGTATTCAATCCACTAGTGTAACCAGTTGGGTCTATTGCTTTGTATTTAATCCACTAGTGTAACCAGTGGGGTCTATGGCTGTGTTTTTAATCCACTAGTGTAACCAGTTTGGTCTATGGTTTTGTATTTTATCCACTTGTGTAACCAGTGGGGTCTATGGCATTGTATTTTATCTACTAGTGTAACCAGTGGGGCCTTTGACATTGTATTTAATCTTCTAGTGTAACCAGTGGGGTCTTTGGCTGTGTATTTAATCTTCTAGTGTAACCAGTGGGGTCTATGGTTTTGTATTTAATCCACTAATGTAACCAGTGGGGTCTATGGCTTTGTATTTAATATACTAGTGTAACCAGTGGGGTCTTTGGCTGTGTATTTAATCTGCTAGTGTAACCATTTAGGTCTATGGTTTTGTATTTAATCTACTAGTGTAACCAGTGGGGTCTTTGGCTTTGTATTTAATATACTAGTGTAACCAGAGGGGTCTTTGGCTGTGTATTTAATCTGCTAGTGTAACCATTTAGGTCTATGGTTTTGTATTTAATCCACTAGTGTAACCAGTGGGGTCTGTGGTTTTGTATTTAATATACTAGTGTAACCAGTGGGGTCTTTGGCTGTGTATTTAATCTACTTGTGTAACCAGTGGGGTCTATGGCATTGTATTCAATCCACTGGTGTAAGCAGTTGGGTCTTTGGCTTTTGTATTTAAACTACTAGTGTAACCAGTGGGTTCTATGGCAATGTATTAAATCCACTGGTGTAACCAGTTGGGTCTTTGGCTTTTGTATTTAAACTACTAGTGTAACCAGTGGGTTCTATGGCAATGTATTCAATCCACTGGTGTAACCAGTTGGGTCTTTGGCTGTGTATTTAATCTACTTGTGTAACCAGTGGGTTCTATGGCATTGTATTTAAATCACTAGTGTAACCAGTAGGGTCTATTGCTTTGTATTTAATCCACTAGTGTAACCAGTGGGGTCTATGGCTGTGTATTTAATCCACTAGTGTAACCAGTTTGGTCTATGGTTTTGTATTTAATCCACTTGTGTAACCATTGGAGTCTATGGCATTGTATTTAATCTACTAGTGTAACCAGTGGGGCCTTTGGTTTTGTATTTAATATACTAGTGTAACCAGTGGCGTCATTGGCTGTGTATTTAATCTACTAGTGTAACCAGTGGGGTCTATGGCTTTGTATTTGCTCTACTGGTGTAACCAGTGGGGTCTTTGGCTGTGTATTTAATCTACTAGTGTAACCATTTAGGTCTATGGTTTTGTATTTAATCTACTAGTGTAACAAGTGGGGTCTTTTGCTTTGTATTTAATATACTAGTGTAACCAGTGGGGCCTTTGAGATTGTATCTAATCTTCTAGTGTAACCAGTGGGGTCTTTGGCTGTGTATTTAATCCACTAATGTAACTAGTGGGGTATTTGGTTTTGTATTCAATCTACTAGTGTAACCAGTGGGGTCTATGGTTTTGTATTTAATTTACTAGTGTAACCAGTGGGGTCTTTGGCTGTGTATTTAATCTACTAGTGTAACCAGTGGGGTCTTTGGCTTTGTATTTAAACCACTAGTGTAACCAATGGGGTCTTTGGCATTGTATTTAATCTACTTGTCTAACCAATGGGGTCTTTGTTTTTGTATTCAATCCACTAGTGTAACCTGTGGGGTCTATGGTTTTGTATTTAATTTACTAGTGTAACCAGTGGGGTCTATGGCTTTGTATTAATCTTCTAGTGTAACCAGTGGGGTCTATGGTTTTGTATTCAATTCACTAGTGTAACCAGTGGGGTCTATGGTTTTGTATTTAATCTACTAGTGTAACCAGTGGGGTCTATGGCTTTGTATTAATCTTCTAGTGTAACCAGTGGGGTCTATGGGTTTGTATTCAATTCTCTCATGTAACCAGTGGGGTCTTTGGCATTGTATTTAATCCACTAGTGTAACCAGTGGGGTATATGGTTTTGTATTTAATCTACTAGTGTAACCAGTGGGGTCTTTGGCATTGTATTCAATCCACTTTTTATCAAAATGTGATTTCTATTATCCCTGGGGAGTGGATTAAGTTTACTATAGTCTATATAGAGAAATAACACTTTTTTGTATTTTTTGCTTAATTTCTGTGGAAAAGAATTCAATAAGCTGGAATTATCATCATATGATAGCAGTTTGAAATCATGATCATTAATACCCTGATCCTGACCCCCAGGGCCTGAGAGGTGGAGCCAAAAGGAGTCAAATTGACTAAATTTCAACAATATCCTTCAGACCCTGATATGATCTTCATTGATGAAAAAGGTCTAAAGTGTTGCTTTATCAAAATCATGAATTTCATTACCCCCCGGTCTAGAGAAATAACAGTTTTGGGTATGTTGCAGTTTCATGCTATCAAAATCAAAACCCTGACTCACCCCAAGGTGCCTGAGGGACGGAGCCCAAAAGGGGTGAAATTGGCTAAAATTTCAATAATCTTCAAACCAAGATATGCTGATATCTTATCCTGTTCATTGATGGGAAAGTTCAAATGTGCTTTATCAAAAATTTGTATTTCACCACTCTTTGGTCATCCATTTCTTCCTTGGTAAGTTTTTTAGGTCACCTGAGCTTTAGCTCAAGTGACCTATTGCTATCCGTTTTCGTCCGTCGTCGTCCGTCGTCCGTCGTCCGTTAACATTTTACATTTCAAACTTAAAGTCAAGTTCTGCTGGGCCGATTGAACTGAAAGTTGGTAGGAATGATCGCCTCATGGTCCTGACAAAGTGTTGTTATTTTTCGGGTCGATCAGAAATCCAATATGGCCGCCACGGCCGCCATTTTGAAAACCTATTTCAAACTTAAAGTCAAGTTCTGCTGGACCGATTGAACTGAAAGTTGGTAGGAATGATCGCCTCATGGTCCTGACAAAGTGTTGTTATTTTTCGGGTCGATCAGAAATCCAATATGGCCGCCA